TAATTCTATAAATAATACAGAAAATAAAATAATTACTGAAAACAACTACAGAAAACCATGCAAAGAATTCCACAATTACAGTATGCAAGAAACACACTGGAAATATGTATATTATCACAATAGCAAATCGTTGCTGTTGATGTACTATAGAGAATTGAAAATATTGAATAGTTCTCTTTTTTTTTTGATTTATTCGTTTTCATTTTATATGATAATCGTTTTTTTAATTCTTTTTGCCATAACATTTTTAAAATGAAAGATTTGATTGAAAAAAAACTGGTCAAATTTCCCTTCAATTGCGAAGTGAAAGTCACTGCTTATGAATACGCGAACTCGTGAAAATAGTTCCCTTTGTGCAACTAAACAAAAAAATCGCACATTTAATTTCAGACAGATTTTATGGCCATTCAAACTAATTATCTGCGGCTCAATGAACTATGAGAAATTTGGAAATCAAAGTAATAACTTGATAATTCTGGGGTTCAGAATCGGGAGATTTCCAACTCATCGTATCTTTATAGACAAGAATCTGTACTTGCTCAGAAATAACTAGACCAAGGACATAAATTTTTCAGCAAGGAGCTTTGCAAAGCTCCAATTAACGAAGAGCATGAGCAAATTTTGGTGATAATGAAAGGTCCTTTCAGAATTTGGCGATTTTTGTAGTGAAGTTCGTTGAAAGAGGGCTTTTCAGGAAATGAGAAAGCTAAAAATTGGCTGCATTTTACATATTCACAGTCTCTTTTGAGTTTCTGCTTTGTTTGGAAATAAAACGTGTTTGGTGCATTAAAAAAATGAAATTCTGTAGACACCACACCTATCTGTTTATTATTCTCATACTTCTGATTGTTAACTCAGTTGTTATTAAATGGTTTCTTAAAGAGTGTCAAGCGATCGTAATCTTCAGCATTCTAAAAGTGCACAGTAAGATTGAGTTGCACATCTCAAACGAAAAACGAGTCATCATCCGGATTGACCTTTAGTAACCAAAACCCAGCTCTCAAGCATTTCTAATTCAGTTAGTGCATGCCAGGCTCTATTCCTTGGCTTTTTATTTCATACTGTCCGTCCACCAAATGGACTTTTTGTGGATAGATTTTGCATCAGAAAAGATTATTTTTTGCTTTTCCCAAAATAATTCTACGTTAATTTTCTCGTCCAGCCAAATTTGCATAATATACAAAATTAGGCTCTACAGAATTTGCAAAATGCTAACAACCACACTCAGCTTATAAACGTACTGCTCAACATTCTTTTTAAATCGTTGCTCAGTGAGTTCAGCTGTCGTGCGGTACATGCGATAACGCTTCGACAAATGCCTGGTAAGCAATGTCGTCCCTTCGATGCGTGCATTCTCCTACTAAACACACGCATCTTGGTTGATAGGACTGCTCAGAATTTGAATCACAAAATTCAAGTGAAAGAATTATCTATTAGAAACTCTGATTTTATGTGCTTGAAAAAAGTTTCCGTGCAAAACTTTGCAATTCAATTTAGCGTCCAATAACCGTATTAGAGTGTGATTACTTGTAGACACAGTTGAAAAGCCAATTGAGGAGATGGTACGAAAGGAAACTGAAACAATCAGACAGATAAATGTAATGAGCAGAGCAAAGAAAAAACATGATTACGATGACATTGTAGTCAGCGAGTAAGCTTTGACAAAGTATTTCTCAGAATAAACACTTTCGAATAATTCAGTTGCTATAAAAAGTTGCAGAGAATATTTTAATTACAGTGTCGATTCAAAGTAATTCTCATTACCAAACTCTCACATTTTCAGAATCAGTGGCAGTCAAAAGAGAACGGTAATGCTGAGAACTGGTCGATGCTTTCTTCAAATTAATATCTCAATCACTAAATTTATATTCTTATCGCCATTATTAATTATACTCAATAAACAGACACCCTTTCAAATCTTTTCATACAATGCTTCAAGCTTTTGTGACTTTTTAAAGAAATTTAATTATGACACAAATTTTAAACAAGTCTTCGAGAATTAGTGAAGATGGAATCTACGCCAGTATGATTCACAACAAACTAGAAATACACTTTTAGACAGATTTACTTAAACATAATGAATAAAATTCAGAAACAAGATGTTGTCAAAGTGGATCGTAAAAATGCTACCTGTGAGGAGACACGCAAAGGATCGTCCGAAAGGAAATCCAAAAAAGATGAAGGAACAAAAAACAGTAAACCCGAAGAAAACATTACTCAGACAGACGAAACTTCTCTTACCAAACCTCTACAAAATGATGGACAGCAGGGTATTTGTGCTGATTATTACAGAAATTTAAGACTTAAAAAAAAGGCTCTTTACCGAAGTGAACGATATTTTTAAATTGCATCAGAACTTACCAAATATCTGCAAAATCGAGAAGTTATTTCTACCCAACTTCATTCTTATTCTTGTTATTATTGATGCATTTAAGATGTTATTCAAATTTAAACTTCAGGAAAAAGTGCTGCCAGCTGTTGCACAGTGGTATGAAGAAAACTTCGGGTCAAATAATGGCCATGTGAACAAAATTTGAAATGAATATTATTTAATATTACAAATGAATAATAATTAGTATTAGCATATTTGAAAACATTTCACATCCATAACATATTCAATTCTCAGAATCTCAGAAACTTTTATTGTTTAACAGATCAATAAGCAATAGATGAAGTGAAAGTCAAAAATCCCTTTTCACTACAATTTTCTCATTCCACGAAAAATTACCTTAAAAATGAAATAAGGGTTGTAGGGAGTTAATTCTTTGTGCACGTCATGATTTCATTTAATTTTGTCAATATGAAATCCCAAGCACAAAATATTTG